TTAAAATATATTTTAATTATAAAATATATATATAAAAATATATAAATATATAAAAATATATATAAATATATTATATATATATATATATATTTATTATTATTATTTTATAAATTTTTTTTTAATTATATATATATAAAACAAAGTTTTTAGTTATAATAAATATCATTAATTTTTGTATATTTTTTTTTTTTTTTATTATAAATATTATTACAAAAGTTCTAAATTATATTTTTTTTAAAAAAAAATTTAAATATTTTATTATTTTTCTATACTCTTAATTTTTTATTAATGCATATTTTTTATATTTTTATTATTTAATATTTTTTAATATTTTTTTGTATTTTTTTTATATAAATTATTTTTTTTATAGCTTGTTTATCTTTTCTGAAATTTTATATTATTTTATATAGAATAATAAAAAATATATATATATTAAAATTTATTTAATAACTGTCTTAAATAATGAGTATATTATATATATATACATAAAATTTTAATATTAGTAATATAGAATTTATTTATAATTTTTATAAAAATAATTATTTTTTTTATAATAAAATATTTTATAAATTAATTATATAATATATAATCATTTATTATTTCTATATTTTGTCAAAATTTTTTTTAAGAAAATTTCAAGTTCTTCCATTTTTTATTTTACTGTTTTTCCGTCATCGAATTAGTAATTTTCATTTTGTAAAACATCTCTTTTTCCTTCTAATAAATTTTAAACAGATTTATGGTAAATGTCAATATATTTATAAATAATTTCATTTTTTTTTTAATTTATTTATTAAACTATGCTAAAAATGCTTTTATTTTTAAATATGTTTTATTTATATTAAAAAAATTATTTTTAATATAATAATAAATTATCTTTTAGACTTTTATCACTAAAAGTAAAAAGTGGTTGATATTAATAAAGAAAATCTGATTTAAATTAATTTATTTTTTATTCTAACATTTTTTATTAAACTATTTTAATATATTTTTGTTGCAATTAATTTTCTTAACGCGTAAGAATATTATTTTAATAGAAATAAAACATGTTATTAATATATCCTAATTCATATTTTTATAATAAATTTTTATGGTGTATTCTTATCTATTTGACTTCTTTAAATGCATTTATTAATGAAGATATATTATTCTATTTTTTCATTTATATATTCTTTTATTGTAGCTCTTATATTATTTTTAAGTATTTCATTTTTATTAATCTCAGAATTAAAATTAAAAATAAATATAGAAATCTAAATATATTTGCTAATATTAAAGGAATTTTTTATATAATTAATTATATATTTTATAGTGGCGAAATAAAAATAAATATATGAGATTAAATTAATTATTTAATAAAAATAAAGGATATTATAAAAGTACATTCTTAAAATTTTTTTATAATAAAAAATTTGCATTTGTATGAATTTTATAAAATGTAAATATAATGTACAAACGTTTTTTAGTAAAATTTTATAAAAAAGTAGAGTTCTATTTATGTTTTTAAAATACATATTTTTTTTTTTCTAAAATATAATTGTAAACAATCCTTTGTAAAAGATAAATTATTATTTTTATATTTTAAATTATAAAGGAATATTGTATAGATTATATATAATATATTTTATTTTTTAAAGTAAAAATATTGATAAAATAATATAAATTTGTAATTTTGGTTAAAGAATAAAGTTATTAAAATATATTTTTTAAAAAAATACATAGAAAATTACATATAAATATAAATAATTTTCTTTCATTTTTATTTTTACTTATTATATAACTAATTTAATTTAATTTAATTTATTACATAAGAAAATAAAAAAATGATGAACGCAAAAATATAATTATAAGTTCATTTTTAAAACTCTGTATAAATAGATAATATTATTTATTATTAAATATTTATTGAAAATTGTACTGATTGTCACTAATAGTAATTAAGCTATTAACGATATAGTAATTTATAAAATGTTCACGAATAAATTATAAAATATGTTTAAAAAAATAAGATAAGAGAAATAATAATTCCTTAGTTTCCTTCTAAAAAATGGTGGAGTGTTTAAGATTAAGAATTTATTTAAAAAAGATAATAATAATTATAAACTTATTTTAATGAACTATTATAATAATAAAAATTTATCGAAATAAAACCATTAGTTGAATTTCTAAATATTGAATAAGAATGTCTTTAACATTATAGAGTTTATTTTTTTAAAAAATACTAACTTTTTATAAATATTTAATTAAAAAAAAAAGACAGAAGACGAAAATAATTTAAACTTATAAAATACTGCCTAAGCAGATATAGTTAATAAATAATTTTTATATAAAAATTTCTATATAAAATAAAAAATAATTATTTGTATTATTATTTTTAATTTACTTTTTTTGTTATTAAATTATTATTAATTATTTATTTATAAAAAAAAAAGGAATCTGAATATTAATAATCAAGATATGCCGATTTGGGATTATCAGATAATAAAAATATACTTGATTTTTCAACAGAATATTAATCTAAATAAGAAGAAGAGATAATAAATTAAAGTTGGGGAACTAGCATTATAAAAATGAATAATTTTGATTAATTTATAGATTCTGAAAATAATATATCAATATATAATGTCATGAGCATTTTTAGATAAACAAACGATTAATATACTGACAATTATTTAAATTTTAAATAAAACAAGCTTAAATTTTTAAAACAAATTGAATAAATAAATAAATAAAATGAAATTTCAAGTGAAATCGAAATGAATATTTTCGTTGATGGAGATGAATATGATGGCGATGAGGAAAGTAAGACAGAAGAAGAAGAGAAATAATAAAATTCCTTTGTAAAAAAATTAGAAGAGTACACAGAAGATGATTAAAATATAACTTATACAACTTATAAAAATATAATTAGCTTAAGTTAAATTAGTGATAGTACTGATAATATTTATAGAAACTCTTTTGATTAATTTAGTTAATATAATAATCAAAATATATTATAAGATATTTTTATTAATTCTAATTCTTCTAAAAAAGTCCAGAATAATTATAATGTTAGTAAAAATATTAACATTAAAAGTTGATATTTTAGAAAGAAGAAAAAATTTAGTAATGTATTTTAAAATGTAAAAAACGCAAATCAGAATTATAACTATATAAACAAAATTAAACATATATAAATTTATATTTATATATTTATTATGAATATTAAAATTAATATAAAAATTAATAAAAAAAATTAATTATAATTATTTTTTTTTAGAAATAATTTAATTTTGAGAATTATAAATAATTTATTTTACAATTTTAAAAATTAATTTTGATAGAAAAATTAAATTTAAATTGATTATTTTTAAAAAGCAATTTTAAATTATTAATTGGATTATTTATAGATATAAAATAAATATGTTGTAATTGATAAATAGATATATTTTTTTTTAATTATATAAATAATCTTAAATTAATATATTCTTTTAATAATTATCTCGTATAAAATTTTAAATATTTAACAAATTTAATTTTATTATATAAAAAGGAATATGTAATATCAAATAAATAGAAAATATTAATTTTTATAAATTATTAAAAATCTTTAAAATAAATAAAATAAAATAAATTTAAATAAAATAAAATAAATAAATAAAATAAAATAAAATAAAATAAAAACAATAAATTCGTATTAAAATGAAAATATATTAATTTTTAATCAAAATTTTAAATTCATAAAAATGGCATTTCATTCGACTTTTTTTGTTTATTATTCTGAAGTACAAATAATTTCTCTATATAATAGTATATAATCATTCCTACCATTCAGTATAATTTTTTAACTAGTCTTCTATATATTAATGTTTAAAAAACAATACTTCATCTTCAAACTAGTTTTAAAATTATTTTACCTGTTTTTTACGCAATTCATTTCAGTCTCTTCAACAGGAATAGCATCATAATAAATACTACTTAAATAAACTCTTCTCAATAATTACTTAAATTCAGTCTTATAGTATATTCTAGTTTATAAGGATATTTAGGTTTTTAAACTTTATTTCTATTTTAATCATATCAGCGAGCCTTTTAAACCCATAGTCTATATATATTAAAGTCAAAAAGAAACTTTTAATGCACTAAGTTTTAAATCAAGTCACTGCAGGAAGGTGATTAAATCTGAAAAAATCCTATGCACATTCATAACACAATTTTTTTTTTTCAGAACGCTATCCATCAATTAAAAAATTCAAAGATATTCCTGGAATAAAGCTATTTCAGTTCTTTGATTGCGTCAGGCTTTATTACAAAATATTTTCTTATTATTACACTGTCTGCTACTTTTAAAAAAACTTAAAACTGTGTATGGAGGAAGCAACGGGTTCAGCTTAAAACTCGACGTGGAATATATTACTGTTTGAATAAATTACTTTTTAATAGGAAGGAAGCATTATATCAGATACGAATTTCATGGATATTAATTGTGGTTCAACAAAAAATTTAGATAATCCAATAGCTTGAAGTAAAATAACCAGTTGAAGAGTCATTTTAAAATTCTTTTAAGAAGAGTTAAAGCCTTTAGTATGCAATCCAGTTTATTTAAATTTAAACTATAATATTTTAATATAATTTTTTTTCGATTTTAAAAATTATTTGAAAATTTTAAAATCAATATTTTTTGATTATAAAATGTAATGTAATAATTAATTTTTTATAAAAATTAGAAAGTATATATTATATATATAGATAAATACAATATATAAAAATATATTTAATATTTTATTACGTAATTTATTTATATTATTTTTATATCATGACTTATATATATTATTAATATTATTTATTAATTTATATTGATTTAAGAAAAGATATATAATATTAATTTATATAATATAATAATATAATCAAATTTATTTAATTAGATAATTTAATTTTTTGAAAAATTACTTATTCAAACAATATTTAATTTATTTTAAATACATTATCAATGATATAAATAAAAATAAATTCTATTTCAATAATATATGAATTCTTTTTACATTTAAAGTAAAAATCATTACATTAAATAAATATTATAAAATAGATATAATTTTATGACTAAATTTAATAATTTTAAATATAAAGATAAATATAAATTTAAAATAATAATAAATTAAAATTTATATTTATATTTTTTACTAATATCAAAAAATTTTTGTGAATTTTTTTTTCTTCATTTAATATTTTTTATCAATATTAAAACATTTGTTTGAAAGGACATTTTCCTTCTATTTTCTTAGTTTATTTATCTGGAGTATTAAATATATTCCAAAAACTCCAAGAAGGTGTATAATCTCTCCATTAAGGTCTTTCTTTCAAATCATTTTCCATATCCTAATGTTAGAAAAATAATTATTAATCACCAAATTTACTTGTATTAAGTTTACTTTTCAAAAATATTTTTCCTATTTTCTTTTAACATCCATCTTCAGGGTTTTCAACAGCAAAAACTTCATAAAGAACAGTTTCTGCGGGAATAGTTTTCAATTAATCAGTATAATAGTTTTTAAATGTATCAGAAAACATTTCTTTGATATTATCAGGAGCTCTAAAAATCAATTTCCAAGGATATTTGACATTATCTACTGCTTTTCCGTTTTAATCATGTGAAGCAAAAGCTTTCAAGCCAACAGTTTAAATTTATTTTGTTGCAGATGCGAATTTTTAAGAGAGTAGTTTTAAAGATAATCCTGAGGCAAGTCCTATGTGATTTGATATTTCTTCTGCAAAAAAATTCCATGAGGGTATTCCATTAACAGAATTCATAGCCACTAAATTAGCAGAAGGTTATCCATCAACTAAATATTTCAAAGCAATTCCAGGAATAAAATTATTTAAAGGTTCCTTGGTTGGATTTGGTTTTTTAGCACATGAAAGTCTAATTAATAAACTGTCTGCTCCTTTGAAGAAGCCAGTGTAGGGAGTATCTGGTTCGGCTTAAAATTAAGCATGAGCTACATTTCCGACTGAATGGATAAACTTTTTACGACCTTCAGGGAATTAGTCTGATTAGAGATTCATTGTGACTTTCATTGATTCAGTGAATATACCAGCTAAACTTAGAGTACTAGGGAAATTGCCAGGAGTAGAGTCTTTTAAGATTTCTTCTAAGAGTTAAGAAAGTTTTTCTTAACGAGTTTATTTTTAGTAATCTTCACCAGAGTATTTTTGGCAAGTAATTAATACTATGAGGCAGGTTAAGGCTAAAATTTTTAATAAATTGTTCATTTTTTTTATATTTTTTTAATATATATTTTTAAATATAATAATTATTTATATGAAATAATATTTGTTATTTTATTTATTAAATATTGAATAATTTTTATTATAAAGATATATTTAATAAAAAATTTAAAATAATATATGGTATTTTATATATATATATATATATATATATATATATATATATATATTTATATATATATATATATATTTTTAAATTGTGATTAATTATTTTAATGTAAATAAATTTATTGTTTTAAGCAAAATAATTAATTTTATTTTTTTAAACATATAATTTTTTATAATTAATTAATTAATATGTAACAGGACGAATTCAAAAAATTATATAGTGATATTATTGAAAAGCAAAAGCCGATTGATTTTTCATTAAATAATATTTGTGAAGTCAAAAAAATTATAAAAGAAATACATAAAATTTTGAAAAAAAAAAAAATAGCTTACGATAGAAGTAGCAAAAAAGAAGATTAAAACCGCAAATGAAAAACTATTCATAAAAAAAGTATTAATAAATATAGCATTTTTTTAAAAAAATGCTAGCCTTTTCGAAAGTGAAGAGGTTCTTAATTATTTATATAGAGAAGTCAAATATAGATTTTACGAAAAATAATCTGTAATTTTTCATGAAGGAGATATTGGAGAATAATTTTATATAATAATAAAAGGTAAAAAAAAATATATATATATTTTACTAAAAAAATAAAAAGGTTAAGTATGGTGCTTAATGAAAACTGTGCCTTAAAACAAAAGAATAATCTTAATAAATATAGTAAAATTAATAACACTAACACTAAAACTAACACTAACACTAAAACTAACACTAGCAATAAAACTAACACTAACACTAAAACTAACACTAACACTAATAATAACAATAATAATAATAGCAATAGCAATAACAATAACAATAACAATAACAATAGCAATAGCAATAAGCGAAATTTTAAAAAGATAAAAATACATCAAATTAATAATAGCCTATTTAATTACAAGATAATAACATTGATGATAATTAATTTTTGTCTATTAAATATCCAGATCGAAAGTTGGTCAAAATTTTCTCTTAATGGGAATCTTTTGGAGAAATTGCTTTAATAACTTCGTTACCAAGGTAATATAAAATATGAATAAATTATATATTTAAAATAGAACTGCGTCTATAGTGTGTAAAACAGACACACATTTATTTGTTTTATCGAAAAATGGCTTTGATAAAATAATAGGAGAATTAGAAAAATAAAAAATGTTAAACAAAATTAACTTTATGAAGCAGTTTGCTTTTTTTAAATATATTCCTAATAGCAAATTAATGAGTCTTTTAAGAGATTTTAAAGAAGAAACAATCCTTAAAAATAGATATTTTTATAAAGAAGGGGACTTAATAACTGATATTTATTTAATAAAATCTGGAGAAATAGAAATAACTAAAAATATGAAAATAGAATATATTGATAAAGTAGAAGAATAATTTAATTAATATCAATTAATTAAATAAAAACCTAAAACAACAATTGCATTAACTATTTTATCTCAAAATTCTTATTTTGGTGTTGATGAAATCTTCAATAAAAAATTATATAGAGTTACAAATGCTTAATGCATATCGGATTAGGCGGTCATTTATAAATTATCACTATAAAATTTTATTGATTGTTAGAAAATATATCAGAGTTCATAATTTAAAGAAAATAATAATATTTTTAAAGACAATTGGATTAATTAAAGGGCAAATGAAATCGCATTAAAAAGGAAAGAAAGTAATGCAAAAATATAAGAGAATAAAAAAATTAACGAAACATATATAGAAGATTGCTAATTTTAATAATAAGGTTAGGGAAAATTAAATAGTAAGGCTACCAAATTCAAACCGCCTTTACTTAATCCTATAGAGTTATTTAATAATTAAAAATATTCTACTGATAATAATGCGAAAAATTTCAGTTTGGGGAATTCTCCTAAGTCATCGTAAATCGGGAGATTTTTTGAAACATTTAGGTATAATAGTAGAAGAATTTTAAACCAAAATAGTTAAAAATCCTTAGTGAGAATTAAAAATTTGGCTTGGTAAATGAAGAAAGCTTAGGAAGATAGGAAATATAGGTAAAAATTTTTATTTGGGAAAAAAAATTCGGAGGTTAATAATTATTTTGAGAATATTTTAATTAATAAATAGCCGATAAAATACACTTAATTTTATTTTAATTTGAAACTTTTATATTAATAATAAAATAATTAAAATGAGTAATAAAATTTGTTGGATAAATATATTAAATAGAAATAAAATATCAATTTTAACACTTTTTCATTGTTTAAAAAAAATAAATAATTTTGAATTGATTTTTTTTTTTATTAAATAATTATAAAGATTATATCAATATTATATTTTCTTTATTAGTGAATATTTATTTTATAATTAAAAAATAAATCTTTTTTATATAAAATAAAATAAAATAAAATAAATGGATTATAATTTCAAATATAATCCAATCCCTCGGTAAAGAATGGAATTGGAATAATTTTCAGAACAATAAAAATATTATTTAGGAATGCTTTCAAAATATTCAGGAAGAACAAATAAAACTGATGTTATTTCTGTAAATATGAATACTTCTTCAAAAGAGGATTTAGTTAAAGAATATTTTTCATATTTAGATATAAATGAATAAGTAAAATGGAATGACAATCAACTATTATTAAATAAAAGCTAATAATAATCATTATTTTTTAGTAGTGCAAGTTTCGGGACAGCAATGATTTATTATATTATTACTACCCCAAACACAAAATCTTTGGCATTTTAATCAGTTTAAAGTGCTTTTATAGCAGGATTTGTAGGGTTTTTCTATTATAAAATAAAACAAGCTTAATATAGAAAGGAATTACATCATTTTTATGTTCTTACACTAGATAGAATTAAAGAAAAAAGAAGATAGTATATATAAAATTGATATAAAAAATCGAACATATAAAATATAATTATTAATTAATTAATAAATATTAAACATGTTAATTAATAAATAGAATTTATTTTGATTAATTATATGTGTTTAGTCATTTAATTCAATTTTTAAAATATAAAAAACCTTTTTTATTTATTATATTATATATATTTGTTTAACTTGTTAATATTAACTCTAAAATTATATACGAAATAGTTAGTTTTAAATAAAATTTGATTATAATTTAAAATTTTAATATTAAAAATAACTAAAGTACATATAAAAAAATTTTTTTACTTTAAATATAAAAAAAATAATTTAATAATTAATATTACTATATTTATAAAAAAAATTAACTAATGAGAGCATTATTTTTTCTTTAAAATACTTAGCCTTATAAATATTTTTAAATTTTTAAAATGGAAATATTGAAAATAATATTTAAACATAAATTTATAAAAAAACAAAATTTAATAAAATTTTCATAAAATAATTGTAAAAGTTTTAAAATAGAAGAAGAATAAAAAGAAGATGATATTAATTTAAATAGTAAAATAACCCGAAATTTTCAACTAAAATTTAGTTTTTTATTTCAACCTGAAAATCGAATTAGATATTATCGAAGGCATCGAAGGCACAGGGGCTATTAGAATAATTTTATAGAATAATATGCAATGTTAAATAATAAATAGTTAAGATAAAATAACTATTCAAAAATTATTTTATTAATACAAATTATATTGCCATTTTATAAAATATGAAAAATAGTGTAAATAATAAAAAATATCAGTAATTAGTATTAATTAAAAAATATGAATTATAATTCAGATTATGAGTACATAAGTACTTTTTACTGCATTTAATGATGATCTATTTTTGATAAAAGTCTTGAATTAAGTAAAGATAAAAAAATTAAAATAGCAAGCATATTCTAAGTGAAAAATAAATCACTTTTATTCGTTTATTAACAAAAAATATGAGAAAAAATGATTTAAATTTGATGTGAGTTTATATAAAATAAAGAATATTTTTTTTGGAAAGTTCTGGTTTTTAATTATAATTAAGTTCTAATGGAACTTGTATAATTTAAATTCTGCATTCTTAATTGAGTTATTTTATTGCTACAACAAATAAAAAATGAATTCAATAATATACATAGAAGATATAATTTATTAAATAAAATAGTATTGAAATAAGTACTTTTAAAGTATTTAATTGGCATGAAATTTACTGAAAATAATAAAATATATTTATAAAGGTAAATTTGATATTATACTATAATATATATATATTATAATATTAAAATTATTCATAATTTTTATATTAATTTATTTAATTATAAAAATACATATTTTTTTATTTTATATATAATAAATTCTTTGTTGTATTTATTTTTATTTTTCACATAATAATTTTTGTTATAAAAATAATTAAAGAGAAACAAATTAATTTTCCATTTGAAATAAGTCCACCTCCATATGGTGAACTTAAGACTATTTCTTCATAAACTTATTCACCTTTAGAATAAAAAAATATTTAATAAATTTTAAAAATGAATATTATATAAAAATTACCATATATAGGTATTATAGGAAAATGATTAGCAATAATATAATAGATCTTATAACGAGTATTTGGATTTAAATCAGTAATTTCAAATTTAATTTGCTATCCATTATTGTAGACTGCTTTAAAGCATAATTCTGCTTTATAATTAATATTATTTTTGCACGAAACAATTTATTCAGGAGTTGGTTTTTTTAAAAAGGCTATTGGGGAGTCATAAATTTAGTCTTTTACTGGATCATATACTGCTTTAGCATATCTTTCAGCAATAAAATAAACTTATCCATCGGTACTTAATTCAAGCTAATCAATGATTAAAGCAGAATTATAGGCAGTTCCTTTTGTTTTAAAAGATATATTCACTAAATTAGGAATTTAAAAATCATCAACTTTGTTTTAAGCTTATATATATTTAAACTTATATGAGTAAGCAGTTTGCGAAATATAATTAATGTTAAATTTATTTTTCGCATCTTAAATTATATTCATTGCATCGTATAAATCTTTAAGAACATTTATTGATTGATCATTTTCGAATTATAAATCAGGAATTAGATAAATATTTGTTGATTTATTTGCATTCGAGTTAATTACTCCTTTGTATTTAAAATAATATTATTCAGGCATTGCATTTCTAGAACAACTTAATCCATCTGCATTAATTATACTTTTTTTTATATATAAATTTTATATATTTTCTTTTAATTTATATAAATATATATTGTATGTTTTTTTTTTACTTTTTTATTCTTGTTTATGATTAAGATACATAAAAGCACAAAACATCATTTATATTATCAGAAAAAGCATATTTATTAAAAGAAACTGTTATTTTAGTAAATGGTTCCCATTCTAAAAATAAATTTATGTAAATATATATAAATTATAAAATATACCTAAAGTAGTAAAATTGAGACATTGTTCTTCTGTAGCTTATCTAAACTCAGTATCAAAATAAACGCAAATTATATATTTAGTTTCTGGAATTAATTCATCAATATCAATATAAGTTTAATCAACATTACTTTATTTAAAGGCGATTAAGCCAATTCTTTAATCTTTTTTATTTCCTTAAAAAATATACAAAATATCTTAGGTTTACTAAATAATAGTATTCGATTCTTTGATAAGAATTTTTATATCCTCTAAACTTTTAGATACATAATTTTCAATCACAGATATATTCCAATAAACAACTCCATTAGTATTTGCTTAGACTAGAAATTTAGCATAACTCCTTTTTGTTTAAAAAACGCTTAGATTAAGAGTAGGTTTTATTGATTTGTCTTTTTGAACTACTTCAGCTATTATAACATTTGTACTTTTATCTTTAAATGCTAGTTAATAAGAATTTTTATTTATGCCTAATTATTTAATATTAAAAATAAAATAATATATCTAAAAATAAATATACCACTAAGTTTCATGTTAATTTCCGTATTAATAGCTTAAACATTACTATTTAAAGCACAAAAACTTAAATACCTAAAGGAAGTTTCTGAATTAAAAGTTGAAGTAAAAGTCGAGAGTTCGATATTCATTTCCAAAAAATTCGCAAATTCATATACAATTTCGACATTTTCATATGGTACATTTCCTATTTAAATCTTTTCAGGTAAAGAACATCCTCCAAGAGGAACAGTAATAATTTAAGGCATTTAAATAACTACAGGAGCATTCATAACAAACACAATCATATTATCGAAAACATTATAAATTGGTTTAAGTCCAAATTCTTTCTTCTTAATTTATAAACTGTAAACTTTCTCCAATAATTCATTGCTTACTCCTATCCTAAAAGCTTATTCTTAATCTCCTAAATATACGTATATATCCTAAGAAACTATTTTGAACCCTGGAGCTTCCAGATTTATTAATAAATTAGACTAAAATTTTGACAAATTAGAAGTTCTTATATAAATTTTATTTGAAAATGTCCCCTTTGTAATTCTAACGTATTTACCTTCTTAACCTCCTTCTTCGATTTTCAAATAATTACTTTTTTCTTTAAATTCTATGTTTTTCATTTCATTAGTTTAATAATTAGACCTACTAATGACATATTGTTTATTTTCTTCAAAAATCGACAAAATCATATATGACATATCTACTAAACCTGGATCTGGTGGTGTAGGCACGTCTTTTATATAAATTTTAATACTTTAAGTATTTTAAGGAATGTTTTAGTTAATTTTTCCTTCTATATTTAGCCCATTTACCAAGCAATCTTAAGTTTAAAATTAAACATCAGTTAAAGTTTAAGAAACATACGATATGGCACACTTAGGTTTTGGATTACTTATAAGTGTGGAATATTGGGTCGGAAAAACTATAGAAAAAGCTGAGTTTATGGGAAAAGAAAGACTTGTAGTAAAAATTATTGTGTGGTCAGATTTTCCTCGTGTATCTTATTTTTGAACAGTTACTTCTTTTATAATTAAATATTCATAATTTGCAGGAATTCTTTAAATTTTAGGGGGTATCAAGTGTATATATTCGGAAAACGAATAGTCTTTTTAATTATTTATGGCAATAAAAATAGTTTCGTTTTTATAAGAAATATTATTTCTATCAAGGTATTAAGGACCTAATAATCCAAAAACGTATAATTCGAAAGACTCGCCAGGAAGTACTAATAAAGGCGAATTTTTTATTTGCAGCCTGAAAGGATAATCTGGATCGTATTCACAAGTAGTTTAAATAGAATTCATTTTGCAATTTATATGCTTTTATATATCAGTTAGGGCTGGTGAATAATAAATAGGAAAATAAATATAGAGAATACTAAATCCATCAATTTAACTGTCTTAAATTGTTATTTCAAATACAAATTCCTATAAAGAACCTTCAAGTAAATAATTGGATGCTTTTAAAGTTATTTGAGAGTTAGTGGTTGCTAATAATTAAGGAAAACCTACTGTAGTATCATAAGTATTTGTTATAACTAGATTTTTATCAAATTCTCGCAAAAATTGCACTTTGCAAATATTGTTTACGTTTGAAGGTGGTAATTTTACGTTGTTTATTTAAATGAAATAATCACCTGAAATAAATTGTTCTCTATTAAATATTATAATATATATTATTTATGTTTCAAATTTTACAGCAATATCAAATTGTTTGTCATTTGAAAATAAAGAAATAGATAGTCGATCAGTATTTACATTTGCATCATTTAAATCGGAACCCATATTCACTACCAAAAATTCGTTATCATATAAACTTCTGGGGGTATTGAATTTAATTTTTAGTTAAGCATAGGCTTAAAGATTGAGAATATTGAAATATATACGAGAAATTTTTATATACTAAGGCGAAAAAAAATTCACATTAACCACTTTTGTCAACTATTCAATCATTACATTCCCTGAAACATCTCTTATTTATAAAATAATACTTTTGTCTTAATCTCTTTCTATTTCGATTCCCAAAAAAGTTAACTCGTAATTGATTTCTCCATCATATATTTTATCTTCAGTCAATTTAACAATTAGATTTCTGCTGTCTGATGTTACGGAGCATTATTATAGAATATTTTATTATAAATTTTTTAGAGAGCATTGGTTAGTATACACTTTCATTCCAAAAAATTTTATATTAATTTAAGAAAATCTTTATATTTTATGCGTAGGAGAAAATACTATCTTGCATTCAGTATTTAGAATTCCTTCGGCATTATCTTTTAAAACCACATCTAATAATTTCAATTCGGAAAAATATAAATTGTCTTTTCCACTATTGTAATATTATTTATAGCAATCTAAATTTCCGTTATTTGATGTTATTATAGATAGTAAATTAGGTAGATCATAAGAAAATGGTAAAACAACATTTTTAAACAAAATCTATATTTTTTTTTAAATAAATTAACTTATATATTTATTTATTTACATATCTTCCAATAATACCTGGATTATATTTAATAATTGAAACAACTGCAAACCTAGTCTAACCTTTTCTATCTAAATATCTTAAAGAAGCTGGCAATAAATTTTCATCTAATATTTTAGGGTCAGCTGTATTAATATAAGCATATTCAGATTAATTTTCAAGCCAGAATTCCCAATCAGTAATTATTATTAAAGAAGCTTAACCATAAATAGAAGCACTGACTATAGGATCTTTATTATTAAATGTATCTGATACAGCAATATTTAAAGTAATTTAAGGAGCTGTGGCCCCTGCTTATCCCACAATTTAGATATCAGTAGCATCACATTTATTGTTAGTAACAGTATCTCCTGTAATTTTAGATTTAATCATCGTTTTAGCTTCAAAAGTTGAAGTATCTTAGGTGTATTAGACGGTAAAAATTCTTGATTATTTATCGTAAAAACCGACTTCGATTCTATATTTATACTCATACTCAGATCCTTGTATAAATATTTCTGGAATAATCAATTGGAAATTGTCTATTAAATCTGCTTCTATTGGTAACTCAAATACTATTTTGGCCCATTAATTAAAATAAATTTAGCTTTTAGGATCAACAGTATCGTCTTATCCGGCATAATAGCAACGAGTTTTTTTCAAAGATGACCCGCAATAGAAATCATCTATATTATTAGTAGGCAAATTCATTATATTTTAGAATCCATGATAAGAGTAAATAGACAAAAATCTCACAATATTTGTTTAAGCATTTGAAATAATACCTTTTTTTCCAAAATTATCTGAAGTGATTATATTTATAAATGAAGGAAAACCATAATTTGGATTTGAAGCATTTTCTGATTAATCTACAGTATTTATTAATTTAATAGATAGATTAGGTTTTTTTTATTCTGTGAAAAATAAAAATGTCATAAAATCTATATAATCAACTTTATTAGAGTATAATCTATAGAAAATTTCAAAAATGCTATTTTAATGATTTGAAGCCGATTTTACTTCTAAATTCGAAATTTTAAATTTCAAGTTGAAAGCATTTGCATCTATAGCTATATTATCTTAAATCACACTATATGGAATTTAGGAAATTTCTATTATGTTAAATTAATTGTCAATTGTATTTTCAATAAATTTACAATTATCAAAAGATTTATATTTAAGAACAGCCTTATCAGTATATTAATATTTACAGTTTGTGGAATCAAAAGTGCCTTTTTTTGTCAATACAGTAGGCAAATAAAGTTAAATATAAGAGTCTGTTGACAAGTCAGTAATAACAAACTTAACTTCAAAGTCAAACTCCAAAGGATCTTATCTTTCTAAAACTACTCCTGTTTAATAGATAATACTATTGATTGTACTGATAATACTGTCATAATTTGTTATCATATTATATTTAGGTGTGGAGCCTTCAAAAGAATATTTATCTAAATCTCCAGTAATGCTAAAATAGGCATTTACTTAAAAATATGCTTCATAATAAGACATTTTGAGTCTTGTGGTCAACTCTATTTGTTTAAAATCACCGTTTTTTTATTAAATTTTTATAATTTTTATTAAAATTGAGTTTTTTTTATTCTAATCTATAGTCGTAGTATAAGAGAAAATTATATTTTTTTAAACTAAATACTATGTTCCATCAATAACTAGGGTATTAGGTGTGAATTCTAATAGAATTTAAGATCCTTCGACTATTTCATCATTTGCTTTTACAATTATTCTTACATATTATTTAACGTTTTTGAAAAAGCTTATTGGAAAATCCTTCTTTACTTCTTTTTATTGAGGTTAAAGTAACCAAGGCATAGTGTAAACTTCCAGTTATTATAAATATACATTCAATTTTAGGGCTTTTTCATTTTTTTCACTTGAATTATTAGAATTAAAAGGCATAGAATAAAAAGATAAATATCCTTCACTTTCTTCACTTGGATTTAAAATGCAATTCTAGGCATATATAATAAAAGAATTTTCGCCTTCAAATCCTTAAGCAAATGTAATAGAAAGTTAATTTGGAGATTCTACTTAGTAACTTTTTATTTATGGAGCTATATAATATTTTTCTTTTCTATATAATAATTAAAGTTTTTCTATTTTTTTATAATCTTAAGATACAATAATGCATCCTTATGCTTGATCTAGGAATTTCCAAGGGGAAGTAAGTATCAATTTTATTCGAGCTGATTCAGTTTCTACACCTACTTTTTAGTTTATTTCAACAGAAAATTTTATACTTACTTTTTCACCAGGTTTGTTATTTGTATTTATTTGTTGATCTAAAATCCCTATTTATAAAATTTTATCATTTTTACTTTATGTAAAAGGAATTTAGCCGAAATTTCTATTTATGTCTAACTATATAAAATCGGTTTCATGCGCCTTAGTTACTGTGGATATATTTACTGATTAAGATAGATTATCAAAAGGATTTTCGTTCTAAAATTCTATTTATAAGATATTTTCTGAATTTATATCAGTAGATATTTCTTTTTTTATTTAAACGTATAATATTGTCGGTTATGATTCTAATATTTTACATGAAGTATATTCCCATGTAGCCTTTTAGAAGTATTTTATTTGACAATCTTTTGGGTTTAATTTTACGCCTAAATAATCTTTTAATTCAATTTTTAAAAAAAAATCATTGTTATAGGAATTTGTTATTCTAAAAAAAACTGTTAATAATGTATTTGATTATTTTCCTAATATTGCATTATTTATAGGCCGAGTAGCATATATCATACCGTTGCATTTTACTTATTTAACTAAAATTAAAAATACTAGTGATAAAAAAAAAATTAAAAAAAAAATATGTAAATTCATTTTTTAAATTATCTCAAATTAAATAATTACTAATATTATAATAAATAAATATTTAATAAAAATAATTCGATATATTATTTATTTAAAAACCATAATACAAATGTATATAAATATATATAAATATATATAAATATATATAAATTTATATATATATATATATATAAATATATTTATTCAATTTTTTTTTTTTTACATAAGGTTTTATTTTTTTTATTTAAATTTTTATAAAATAAAATATTATAATTTTTTTTTTATTTTTTTTCAAAATAAATATAGAAAGATAGTTTCACTTTTATAAATTAAAATTATATATAAAAAATAAAAAATGCTATTTATAATTAAAATAATAATTTTAAATTATTATATTAAAATTTTTAAATTTTAATATTTTATTTCTCAAATATTTATATTTAATTCTTAAATTTTATAATCTTTAATAGTCATTTTATGTATTCATACAAATCATTTAGTTATTATAAGTTTCCTTTTATGTCTCCTATAATTAATTAAGAATCATTTAAATTTGTAAAAACAACAGATGAATTATTCTTTGATTCAATTTATTTTAAAATGCATATTTTATTTTTTTATGTGCTTGTTATATTAAATAAATTGGAAATATTCCAAATGTAAACTTTAGAATCATCATCACCACCAGCAACTAATATATCTTTATTAAATATAAATTTATTTATTTTTTATTAAATATTTTAGATTATGCTTTATTATTATGAATTCACCCTTTTACAGCTAGATTATAAATTATTTAAATTATTGGTTATTAAAAATTTTTCTTATATAAAAAAGTCAACTAAGTATATTTAATTTGGCAATTAATTACTATTAACTCCTAATATAAATCTTTTTAAAGGATCTTATTCATTTTTTATCAAATTTTTTTCATAAACATACATATATTGAATAGGAAAACCATTCTCAGTAATCTAAATTTTACTAAGGACATCATATTATTAAAAATCTGAATAAAATTAAAGAACCATAACAAGTCCATTTTAAAAGCCACATAAAATTATGCTCCTATTAAAAAATAGTCCAACCATATAACTAATTTAATCAGGAAATTTGAAAACTTTTATTAATTTCTTTTAGTTAATGTCCCATATTTTTAACAAATTTGCAATGCTTGATGTAAATAAAATATCATTTTGAATACTTAGAATAGCTGTTATTTACTCTAAATGCACTTATAAACAAAATAATCTAGAATTATTTAGATAATCCCATATCTCTAAACTATTTTCATCAGTTATGAAGCAATATTAATTATTGAAAGAAACAATTGAGTTTTCTAGTGATTTTAGAGGAATTATCGAAGGTAAAAAACAAGAATTTTATAGTTAAAGAAAATTTATACTATTTTTGTATTATAAAACTATAATATTATTTTGAGCAATTGAATAATATTAAATAAAATAAGGAACTTTAAGTTTTATTTAAGAAAATGGTTAATAGTTTACTTAATTTTATAATTATAAATCAGTCAATTCTTTATAAAAAAAGCTTGTTTTATTTTCTGATTCTTCTTTTAAGTTTTTGTTTTCTTTAATTAAATTTTATACTTTGTTTTCTAAATCTTCATTTTCCCTTTTCTTTTTTTAATATCCATCTTGTATTATTTTTTGCTAATCTTAATTATTTTATTGTACTTGATTTAATTACAATAAAATTTAATTTAATTATGATTTTTCTTATTATAGGATTTTATAATTTAAGTATTGCTTTTTGTAATTTTTAAACAAATCTTCGAATGGTTATACTTAAATATTTTAATTATTTTTTAACTATAAGTAAATATTTGAAAAAGATACATCCATTTTTTTATAATAATAATAAAAAAAATTAAAATTTAGAAAATATAAGATAAGATATAAATGAAAAAAAATAATAAAATAATTTATAAAGAAAAAATATATAAAATATTATAAATATATGTTAAATTCATTATATATATATATAATTTAATCAGTATATATAAAATATATTAAAAAAATTTTAATTTATTAATTATAAATTTATTATTTCAATTAAAAATAAACGAAATATTTTGTATTCATAATAATAAAAAAATAGGCAATTATATAAAAAAAAAATATGAAATAGACTATTTAAATTTATAATTTAAAATTATTTTAAAAACAAATAATAAAATATTTAAATATATGCTAAATGATAAATATTTATGTATCGAATTTAAAAAAAAAATAAAATAAAAATAATAAATATAAAATTAAATAATAAATAAGAAAATAAAATAATTTTAGTATAAATTTACATTATTAATAAAATTTAAAATATAAATATATATATATATATATATATATATATCTGTATATTAATATTAATAATTATATATAATTTTATTAAATTTAAAATTATAATATAAATAAAAATATAAATGGCCGAAAACAAAGTATTACTTTCTGTTCCTATAGTTGATATTTCTCTATATTTAAATAGATCAGAAGGATATTAAAAATAATGCCTTGAAGTTTCTGATGCCTTACATAAATTTGGTTGTGTTATTATTAAAGATCCTAGAATAAACTAAAGTCATAATGATTAATTTATTAACTTATTTGAAAAATATTTTTTAAGTCGTGGTGAAATGTATTATTAAGGCTAAAAAATAAAAGAAGCTTTTCCTGAATGGGGTTATTAATCTGGAGTAACTCCTCCATTTAAAGAGCGTGCTAGAATCCACTAAAAATTAGTTGAATAATTTTAAGGAGAAAACAAAGTCCATACCCCTTAACCCCCACCTTATGTACAAAAAAATAATATTATATTATTAAATTATTAAATTTAATTAAATAAATAGGATGCTAAATGGAGATATTTTTATAGAATCGGTGAATTACCTGAAAATAGAGGGACATAATTTTGCCCACCAAAAGTAGTTCCTGAAGATTTTCCCGATTTTGAAAAAACTTGTGAATAATGGGGATATTTAATGCTTGGGGGATGCGAAACAGTAGCCAAAATGGCTGCCATAGGAATGGGATTGCCTGAAGAAGTTTTTACAGAAAAAATGAAAGGTGGAGATCATTTATTAGCACCGACAGCTTCTGATTTAGTTAAAAATGATAAAGGAAGTGTTTTTGCAGGATTTCATTATGGTTTTACTTTTATTTTTTTATTATGTTTTTTTATTTTATTTTTTAAAAATAAATAAGATTTAAATTTTCTTACTATACATGGTAAAAGTAGATATCCTGGACTTTTTATTTGGTTGAGGACAGGTGAAAGGATTTCAGTTTCTATTCCTGAAGGATGCTTATTATTGTAAGCTGGTAAATAATTTGAATGGTTAACAGGAGGATATGTTACGTGCGGATTTCATGAAGTTTATTATACTGACTAAGTGTTAAAAAAGAGAGATGAGGCGATATAAAATAATTAAATTCCTTGGAGAATATCTTCTACTTTCTTTTCTCATATTAGATTTGATGCCTTTTTGGAACCAGTTGGTAAATTTGCTACTTAGGAAGCATTGGAGAAATTCCCGAAAATTAGAGCTTTGGATTAGGTTTTAGAAGAAATTAAGATTATTGAATTAAAAAAAGATTGATATATATATTTATATTATATATCTGATTTTAAAAGATTTTTTTTTAAATTAAAAATAATATAATATAAAAAATTTATAGAAATAAGATTTTTATATCCATTTTAAAAATTATCTTAAATATAATTAAAATAAAACTAAAATATTTAAAAATAAAGATAAAAATATTATATATATATTTTATAAAAATAATTTATTTTTAAAAAAAATTAATTTATTGTTTTATTTTTTTATAAATATATTAATTTTAATAATTAATTTTATTAATAAAAACTATAATAATTTTAATAACATTATTATATTATAAATTAATATATAATTTTAAATATTTTATATTAATATATAATAATAATGTTCTTTTTTTATATTAAAATATTATTTGTGTATTAAAGTTTTCTTTAAATTATAAATAATTAAAGTATTTTATTAATTTTTATATCTTATCTTTAATAATTTTTATGAATTTAAGAGTTTTAAAATGTTTTAAATTTTGTTTTTATTATTATTAATGTAAGATTATATTAATAAATTTATATAAGAAAGTTAAGCAATCAAAAAATAGATTTAAATAGGTTTTAAAAAATGATAAAAAGGATTAAGGTTAGGCAAGATAAATTGGATTTAAGACATAGGAATTGGGGTTGGGGTTGGGGTTGGGGTTGGGGTTGGGGTTGGGGTTGGGGTTGGGGTTGGGGTTGGGGTTGGGGTTGGGGTTGGGGTTGGGGT